GCTTCTTCAGCTCTGACCAGATGATGGGGAAGGAACGAAGGAAGTGACAAAGGGAGGGAGGGAGGGAGGAAGGAGAGAGGGAGGAAAGAAGGAAGAAACAGAAGTCTGTGGAGATTCCAGGTCATGGTTGTCCCAAAGGTGCTTTTGCAGGAGGCAACTGGACTTTCTGGTTTTCCCTTTTGAAGACGTTTCCCTTCTCATCCAAGAAGCTTCTTCAGCTCTGACAGGATGGTGGGGAATGGAAGGATTGATACTCCTTGCACACAGCTGGTCATTTGCATCCTTTTAGAGGGTCGTTGAGGCCACTGGGAGGTTTATCTGTGTCCTCAGGGCTGAACTGAGTTGTGCTCCTAGTTCCTGTAGTCTGCTACTGACTTTTAGCTATACAATTTGGGATGGAGACCCTTTGAATGGTGGGGCAGGAATAGGAATGGATTTCCAGTGGAAAAAAAATGCAGACTAGAGGAACCATTTGCACCACTCAGGTGTCCCTGAGGACACAGATAAACCTCCAAGTGGCCTCAACGACCCTCTAAAAGGATGCAAATGACCAGCTGTCTGCAAAGAGTATAAATCCTTCCCTTCCCCACCATTCAGTCAGAGCTGAAGAAGCTTCTTGGAGCAGAAGCAAAACACCTTCAAAAGAAAAAACAAGAAAGTCCAGTTGCCTCCCAGGAAAAAGCACCTTTGGGACAACCACAGGGATGGGATTCAAATTTTTTAACAACTGGTTCTGTGGGCGTGGCTTAGATGGTGGGTGTGGTTTGGTGGTCATGTGACTGGGTGGACATGGCTTGGTGGTCATGTGACTGGCTGGGTGTCGCCAACTCAATATCACTCACATCGAGGCACGCATCTCCTCGCCTGGCCTCTCATGACTGTGGGGATGCTGCAACAGTCATAAGTGTGAAAAATGGTCATAAGTCACTTTTTTCAGTGCCATTATAACTTTGAATGGTCACTCCACACAAGCAAAGTACCAGCAAAGGAGGGGAACACAACTCCAGAGACGTTCCTGAGACAGGAAGTCTAGTCCTGCCAAGAATGTAATAAGGGTTAACGGAGAGGCAGTTTCTGTAAGCAACACCAGAATGTTTCCTTCCTGCCTTCCTTACAGGATTAGCCCAGTAATTTCTTCTAACAGCCGGTTCTCCGAACTGCTTAGAATGTTAACAGCCGGTTCTAGCGAATAGGTGCGAACTGATAGAATCCCACCCCTAGACAACCATGACCTGGAAGGCGGAGAATCTCCAGAGACAATTGCAGACTGGATCACACAGCTCAGCCAGCCTTAAACCCAACCCAAGCTGGAGGATGGTTCATTGTGGGTTCATCCAGCCAACGGTACTATTGAATTACAACTCCAGAGGGACGAATTGGCAAAATACCCCCGAATCTCTTCCCAAAGCAAAATGAATATGTCTGGCCCGGAATCAGGGAAGGGATATTGGGGGCTTTGAGTGAGGAGGGAGGGTCTCTGTGTTGGTATGAGGCAGCCCACGGCTCATGCTCAGTCCTTGCTTTTACAGGGCTCCAGGACACCACGGAGTCAACCATGTAAGTGCCAAGCTGGGGGGGGAGGGGGAGGGGCAGGCACCGGCAAAACCAGCAGACCCACCACCATTTCTTTCTCCCCTGCTCCCCCTCACCGCCACGTCCAGTTTCACACATTCCAACCGGGCACGCAGGCCAGTTTGCACAAACAAGTTGACGGGACGGGTTGATGGTTGACTGAGCTCAAAGCCATCCATTGAATGTAAGCAACACCAGAATGTTTCCTTCCTGCCTTCCTTACAGGATTAGGCCAGTGATTTCTTCTAAAAACCAGTTCTCTGAACTGCTTAGAATGTTAACAACTGGTTCTAGCGAATAGGTCCGAACCGGTAGAATCCCACCCCTGCTGATGCGGCCCTCAATGAAATTGACACCCCTGTGTTAGACTCTGCCCTGAGAACACCTGTTTCTCAATCTTTGAGATGCGCCTTCTTCTTCCTCTCTTGCAGGAAATTTGAATTTAACCCGAAAGAAGGAATCGATAATCCCGCCTTATCTCTGGCAGAGGATTCCGGTAACAAGAGGGCTGGCCAGTGGCAGCTTGTGGGCGGGAAAGGAAGGGCTGGTGTTTTCTTGAGGCTGTTTGGCAAGCGGGTTGCCCAAACTTTTCCATCAGGCAATGGTCTTCTGCAAGCTGATGTTTCTTCCTCTTCCCTGGTTCCTTCTCAACCAGGGTTCAACTTTCCAAGTTCTTTGCAAATGCCATGACCAAGTCATGAGCCTTGTCAACGTCTCGACTAGACAGGCCTTGTTAGTGTGTGATGGGAGGTGGGCTCAAAGGTTCAACTTGCTCCTGAATTCAAGAGAGCCCATCTACCAAGGAGGGTTCTCATGGGATCTTTAAAAGAAGAGAAATTTTGTAGCTTGGGGTTGAACCATGAGGTCCTTGGTGCTCCCTGAACTTGGTGGTTTTCTTGCAGATGTTTCATTACCAAACTAGATAACATTATCAGTGCTAGAAGGGAATGGGGTTGGCGGAGTGGTGGCGGTGAAGGTGGAGAACTACAATGATGATGGGGTGGGTTTTTTTTTTTGCTGCCCTTTGAACTTAGCGGTTTTCTTGCAGAGGCTTCATGACCCAAGTAGGGAACATCATCAGTGCCTTCATCATCAACAACATTAGCATTGATGATGTTCCTTAGTTGGGTTGTGAAATGTCTACAAGAAAACCCATCAAGCCCAAAGAGTACCAAGGACTCCACAGTGGAGGTTCTGCATGTATTATTATTCTGGGATGGGAGCAGACATGATGACTCCTAGAGTCAATATCAAGGAAGACCCTGCTTACAGATAGCCTCCCCCATTACCTCGGCATGATTTAAGGGTCTTCCTCTTTGCTCAGCCTATCTCTTTTCTCCATATTCAGTCTTCCCAATACACAGGTATCCCCACCTCTCCCAGCCAAACCAGTTTGAAAAGAGATGTTTCCTTTTATCCTCTTCAGAACCAGGAGGGGCTTCCCAGATACGTTTCTGTTCACTGAAGAAAGGAGCTGGTGACAACCTGGGCTTCTCGTTGTGCCAGGGAGCCGGAGGAATGTGCCCCATTGTGCGTAAGGTGACACCGGGTGGGCTGGCCTACCGTAGAGGCCTCCAGGATGGAGACCGAATCCTTGAGGTCAACGGAGTTAACGTTGAAGGCATGGGATATCTTCAGGTAAGGCTTTAATGGATCTCCTGCTTGGACCTGGGTATATTGAGTGACCCACGTTTCCAAAGTTTAAACAAGTTTCCCAAACGAACAGCTTCTCAACCTTGGAAACTTTAAGACAGGTGGAGTTCAATTCAATGCTGGCTGGGGAATTCTGGGGGTTGAAGTCCACATGTCTTAAAGGGACTTAAAGGTTGATAAATATTGCTTGTAGTCAACTTCATCCATCTAGATCAGGGGTCTTTTAAGTCTTGTGTTCCCATTTGAGGAACTCTGGAAGTCCACAAGTCTTAAAAGTGGCCATGTTTGGAGACCCTGGATCTAGATGGTGTCCATACTGGATCAGGCTGGCTGGGGAATTTGAGGAGTTGAAATCCAGACATCTTAAAAGGCAGTCGAGGTTGGGAACCCTGATCTAGATGGTGACCATGCTGGGATCAAATATTGGAGCAGGTTCTCCGGTTACTAACATTTGCTTCCTCTGTCTTTGTCTGTCTCTCTCTCTCTCTGTGTGTGTGTATGTGTGTCTCTCTCTCTCTGTCTCTCTCTCTCTTTCTCTCTCTCTCTGTCTCTCTTTCTCTCTCTCTCTCTCTCTGCCTCTCTTTCTCTGTCTCTCTCTCTCTCTCTGTTTCTCTCTCTCTCTCTCTCTCTCTGTGTCTCTATCTGTCTGTCTCTCTCTCTGTCTCTTTCTCTCTGTCTCTTTCTCTCTCTCCCTCCCCCCCACATCTCTTGTCTCATTTCCAGGTGGTCTGGAAGATCAAGAGTAGCTCAAAAGAGGTCTTGCTCACTGTCCTGGAAGGGAACGCCTACGAAGTAGCCAAAGCCCTCAATCGGGATCTCAACCAGCTCTTGTCCAGATATGGAAAGCCACGTCTGTGCTGCGTCCCCAGAGGCTCAAGTGGTTTGGGCTTCAGCGTGTCAGCTCCAGAAGGTAGTAGCGGCAGGAGTCACTTCTGCTTATCTTCGTTGGCGCTGGTGGTTTTTCACCATGAACTCGAAAGATTCTGCTTTGAGAAAAGACTCAGACCTCTCGGGCTGAGCTGGGGTTATTTTTTGCATGCTGGTTTCTTGCTGCCAGAGTCCCACTGGACACGTGCAGCATGCAAGGGACATGTCCAGCAAGAGGAATGGAAAGAGAATGGAGGGGTTGCAGCCAGAGAACAAGCTGACTGCTGATGAGATGGATTGTATGACGCAGGAGGAGACGTCTCCAAAGAGACATGCCAAGACAAGGCCTGGCCTGGCCTTCCTCCCCCCCTGGGGTGAAGGGTTCTGCACCCAGGCTCAACTGCCAGGCCACCCAAATGGGTGCTGATGGAAGAGTCAGCTGATGGCCAGCCAGTTTTTTGTCCTTTCCATGAAAGGGGAGAGGTTTAGGGCAGGAAAAAACAACCGTGCAAATAGTCACAGCTTCCTTCTGCCAGAATCCTGGATGTTGTAGCTGGTCAACATTGCTAGTAATTCTCCATTAGAGACTCTCAGGATTAAAAAGTCTGTGAAAAGTCCTCTAAAGTCTTTAAATGCTTTTAAAAACAGGAAGGACTTTTCAACTAATTTTAATATTATGCCCAGTTTGCTTACATTAGCTGTCTTGAATTTCTTTATCTATCTATCTATCTATCTATCTATCTATCTATCTATCTATCTATCTATCTATCTATCTATCTATCTACTATCTAATCAATTTCTATCTAAGTTAGGTTCTGCCCTTATCATCTCAAAGTGACACTTGGTGGTTTACAGCAAAAAGCATGAACCCATATAATATCTGGATGTGTGTGTGTATGTGTGTACAGTATATATATATATGGCTACATTATATTGAACAATATAGTATATTGCATTATGGTATGTATACCCTATTGCATTATATGTTCATATTATACCATATGTGGTTATATTGTATATACAATAAACCATGCAATATACATTGACGATATATTGAATAGCAGGGTAGGGAATCAGCAATAAAGCCCAGTCTTTGTAGCATACAAAGCATGATTTATTTGTCTCACTCTGTTAAGTAAATCCACCCAACTGTGGTTTGCTCAAGAAAGCCCAGCTTGGGTAAACCAAGAGTTCACACAAAAGTACAGCATGATCGTGGTCACAGCACGGACACTTGGAAGTCTTTGTTTACACTTCTGCAACTTGTTCTTCTTCTCCGCTAAAGAATTGAGTTCCAGAGAAAGAGGAAGGTGGCTGAGGGAAGATTTGTTGGTAGAGGGAAGAAGCTACCTAGGAAATCCGGTTGTTTTCGAGGATGCAAATTCTCTTCCTTCCCAAGGCTTCCTCTTGATGTTGTGGTCCTTCTGTGCAGGTGTGACTGGCGTATTCCAGCTCTCTGTGCTGCAAAATGGGCCAGCTCATAAAGCAGGTGTGCCTCATGGTTCCTGGCTGGTGGAACTCAATGGCGTCAGTGTTAAGAACTGGACGATTGCGCAACTCAACCAAAAGGTTCTAACAATGCAACGTACTTTGAGATTACTAATGGCCAATCTCTTACATTCAATCTCACCCGACCTCTATGAGGGGAGGTTAGAACTTTCCACCAAAAGAAGGCTCATAGCTCAGGGTACAACCAAGTCTCCCCACATAGTTGGAGACCATCCTGTACACATTGTGGGCCATGTGGTCTCCATATCTGGTTGGGGAAGATCTTCCATAAAACTTCCATAAAACTTTCCTCTGTTTGGTTTTCTCTGCACCAGAGGAAGGAGTGAGTAATTCGCTTCTCTGTCTTAACTGGACAAAGTCAATAATTCTGGACTAAAGAGAACATTTTCCCTCCCAAAACTACTCTGGCCATTCTTTGGGTGTTTTTTTACATAGCCCCTTCTCCCGTCATAGCCCAATAGTTTCCCAACCCTGTCTAGAACTACTTCTCTGAATTGTGCCAACGTTTGTCTTTCCTCTCTCTTGCTCCGATTCGGATTCAGCTCAAACAGAGCAGCAGCCCCACAGGGCTCCTGGTGATGGGCAGCCAGTCGGAAGAGGCGTACCGACAGTGCGGTGTTAAGGTTACAGCTGCCTTGGCTGACACCTCCTGGGTTCCGTTCCAAGTGACGAAGCTTCAGATGATGCGAGGAGAAGACGGATATGGGTTCTTGATGAAAGAAGAAATATCTAGCTCGGGGAAGAGGGGTGAGACATCTCCATTTGCAGGCTCCATTGAAGGTAGTCCTTGAGTTATCACCATTCATTTAGGGTCCAATCAAAAGGACAACTTTGAAAAAAAAAGTGACTTATGATCGGCCCTTGCATTGATGACATCACAGGGTCTCCACTTCACATCATCAACATTTGGGGAGATTGGCAATCGGCATGAGTTTATGATGGTTGCAGCATCCCAGGGCCAAGTGATAATCACTGGTGACCTTCTCAGTCAGCTTCCAAAATCATGGGAGAAAGCTGGATTCACTTAATGGCCAACAACTGCAGCAATCTGCTTAGCAACTGTGGCAAAGGGGTGGGGGGCTTAAAACTGGATGACCGCCTTGCTTAGCCAAGGAAATCCTGGTCCCAACTGTGGTCATAAGTCAAGGACTACCTGTATAACCTCTCCTCAAAATACAAATCAAGTGACTTTGAGGCACGGCGGAGAAGATGCTCAACCTGTCTTCCTCTGCTGTGCCCACCTTGACGCTTTGCCTTCCAACTTCCCAGGAAGTAAGAATCAAGCCAACATTCATACTCACAGTTGAGTGGCAGGATTGCAGGTTATAAGATTACAGCTATCTTGGCTTACTCCTGACAACCCAGCCATGTTGCCAAATGCCTATGCAGGTTAGGAGTTGGGAGACTTGAATTCTGGACCAGACAGGGAAAGCTAGATTTAGAAGAGGCCAATGGGGGAGGGAGCTGGATCTCGTTCCTTTAGCAGATCTCCAGTTTTCCTTCCAAGTAGGTTGATACAGGGCTCGTAAGATGGGGATGGAGAAAAGCATTTCAACTCATTTCTAAGCCAGGGTTTTTCAACCTTGGCAACGTGAAGATGGGTGGCCTTCAACTCCCAGAATTCTCAAGCCAGTGATGTTGGCTGGGGAAATCTGGGAGTTGAAGTCCACCCATCTTCAAGTTCCTAAGATTGAAAAACATTGTTCTAGGCAGAAGTGCCTGGGGCCAAATCAGAAACCTGTGTGGAAAAGAGGGTTGGAAGTATGTCCTAGAGAAAAACCTGGAAGTTCTTAGCTACACCTGTCCCTCCAGGATAATTTGTTGGAATAATTTCATGCACAGGCCGTTCTGTCTTTCCTATCTTTGACCTGCAGCCCAATTTTTGAGAGATGTGGAGGCTGGGCTACCCGCTGAAAAGGCAGGGATGAGAGAAGGCGATTGTCTGCTGGCGGTGAATGGCGAGATTGTCGAAGATCTTGACCATCAGGAAGTGGTGTCGAGGATCCGTTCCGACAACCAGCGGGTGACTCTCTTGGTCATCGACTCAGAAGGAAGCAAGTTCTACAATATGGTACCTAAGTCTTCTCTTCTATCAACTCCTGACAGAAAGATAGAAGATGGAAGATAACAATATGCAGAAACTAATTTGGGATTCTGCATCCAGATAGTCTGTAAGCCATCACCTTATAACCAGGACTGGGACCAGAATTTTCTGAACTAACCAAACTAGTTATTACTGTCATGCCCTTGGTAGAGTCTGACTCTGGGGGAGAGGAGGAACGGCTGACAGGGAGTGGAAGTGTGGCTCTAGAGGTTGTGGAGGAGGCTGGGGAAGGGCAGAGGCCGGCTGGGCAGTCAGAGGAAGAACCAGGCCCATCCCCTCTTCATCCTAGGACATGCAGGGAGGAATGGAGAACAACTTGGCTTGTGAGAGAGGAAGCGGCCATGATCCTCCTCATTGGTTGCAGCTGGGGAGACTAGTACATAAGATAGACAATTACAACACAGTGTTGCCAGAAGTAAAATGTGTTTTATTTTGGTCTGAAGTTATCTTGGTTGGCATCCTTCCAACAGACTGTGCCTTGTTACCTCCTTGAATTTGGTAATTACTTACCCTGTTCCATTGTGGAAATTCCTTCATTGTAGTTTGTTTTAGTTTTTTATTTCACCTCTATCTGCCCATTAAGTTCGGACTGTATTGCTTTCTTTTGAAGACTATTTTTGAGTACGCTTTATCTCCAACTGAGAATTATTGAGCAGTGGGGCCAAGTTGGAGGCATTAAAGGACAGTTATTTACGTTTTGGATTTTGTTACGTTTGTGTTACACTCCAGGTCATCACAATTACTGTGAGTTGGGCCTGATTTTAAGACCGTTTTTTCAGGGTTGTTAAGAAAATCAAGGCAGTCCTTAAGTGAATTGTGCGATCATTAAGTGAATTTGGCTTCCCCCATTGACTTGGCTTGTCAAAAGCTTCCTAGGAAGGTTACCAATAGCAATCATATGACCCCATCCATGTAAATCCATGCTGGTTATCCCAATGGTGCTTTTCTCAGGAGGCAAGTGGACTTTCTTGTTTTTTATTTGAAGATGTTTCACTTCTCATCCAAGAAGCTTCTTCAGTTCTTCTTTGGAGCTGAAGAAGCTTCTTGGATGAGAAGGCGAAACATCTTCAAAGAAAAACCAAGGAAGTCCAGTTGCCTCCTGAAAAAGCACCTTTGGGATAACCACGACCTGGAGGACTGACAATCTCTATAGACTACATTCTGGTTTTGCCAGGTACCTAAATTTGGATCATATGATTGTGGAGATGCTGCACCAAATGTGAGAAAGTAGCTTTTTTCAACGTTGAACAGATGCTACCCAAATGATTGTAATTCAAGGACTGCTTGAGGTGGTATTTCTTCCATATTCAGGAGAGGAGAGCAACGAATTCCTATCATTATCCATTTCATTACAATTCAGTAGAATTCTCCAGGCAGACATGTCTACTGGTATCAAAATGATGCCCATGGACAGTGTGTTTATGAAAGCGTGGGGTACTTAAGATGGGCTAAATTTGATTTTGCCCCATGATACAAAATAGAAATTTTAAGTCTAGTTTAAGAATTGATTTCTTGATGCCAATTTTTGATTTGGGTCTACAATTCCAGGTTGGAGTATCTCCTTTAGTTTTCTACGATGATGAAGACATCCCATCAAGCTTTCTGATCACCCGTGGTTCTTCATCTCCAGGCATCGTTCAGGAACAAAGCTGGCCCACTTTGATACCATGTCACTGTCAGCTCTCTAGCAATACAGCACCACCTGGCCAACCTGACCCTAACCCATGGACCTTCACCGGAGAGGTAAGAAGTCCTAAAACAGAATAACAGAATTGGGAGGGACCTTGGAGGTCTTCTAATCCAACCCCTGTTCAAGTACAAAACCCTACCTCAGATGAATGGTTGTCCAATCTCTTTTTATAAACTTCCAGTGTTGGAGCACCCACAACTTCTGAAGGCAATGTTCCACTGATTGTCAGGAAATTCCTTCTTAGTTCTAGGTCAGTTCTCTCCTTGATTATTTTCCATCTATTGCTTCTTGTCTTGCCTTCTGGTGCTTTGGAGAATAGCTTGACTCCTTTGTGGCAGCCCCTGAGATATTGGAGCATTGCTATCATGTCCCCCCGGGTCCTTCTTTCTATTAAACTAGACATGCCCAATTCCAGCAACCGTTCTTCGTATGTCTGAATGTTCTGTGAAGCCAATGACTTGACTTTCTCTAGCCCAACATCACCTCTTGCGTTTTGGGGACAGACCACCAAAGTGGGATTTGTTCAGTGTTGCATTTCTTTTTCTGGGTTTATCTATGGAAACGTAACCTAGCTTCTCTTTGTTTCATCCAGGGCCGTGATGGGTTCAGCCAGGCATTCTAGAGATGGCTCCTTGGACTCTATGGAAAAAAGTGAGCACCTTTGCACATCCTTCCAGAATGGCAAATTGATCTCATCCCCCCAGACCAGCTTTTCCAATCCCTCTTCTGCCTTCCACATCAGTCTGTCTCTGCACTCACATGATTCCTGCAGAACCCGGCAAACAGGCTGAAGATTCAAAGCAGAGCATGGTCAGAGACGGAATACGATGAGTCAGGGCCATCTTGGGGAAATTCCCTTGGGTAAGATTCAAAAAAAGATCAGGACGTTGGAAATAATTGCAACTCAAGGACAGCCCTCGTTCATTGCATTTTGTGGAAGAGAAGCTAGTATGGATGTCCTCTCTGGATGTGACACATCTCTACATGATTCCTACAAGTGGAATGTGAATGAAGAGCATTGATCACTTCCTTCAGACTCCTTTTCCCCTCCGTCAAAATATTTCCTCTGTTGCAAGATCTCCATCCTTGAAAACTTTAAGACTTGTGGATTTCAACTCCCAGATTTCCCCAGCCAGCCACGCAACTCCCAGAATTCCCTATGCTGCCTGGGAATTCTGGGAATTGAAACCCACAAGTCTTCAAGTAACCAAGGGTGGAGTTCCCTGGTCTACTGGAACCAATACAACTGAGCACTGGACTTCCTTTCACCTTCTTCTGACAATCAACCCGTCAATTTTGCACAAAACAGACTGTGAAGGGTGGCAGAGGATAAACGAGGGGCTTCCAGTCCCAGAGCTCCCTCTCCAATATTTTTTTTCTGAGTGGAGATGCAAAGCATCTTCTGTTCCTGGCCTACACTCTGATGAGTACAGGAGTACGACCTCAGCTACGTTAAATGGGAATTAATGTGTTCTGAAACAGGAAAAGATAACAGACGGCCTGATCTGGAATTTCCTTCCTTCCTTCCTTCCTTCGTTTGAGCTGCTTAAGAAAGGAGTTTGTTAACGGTGGAAAGGACTTCTTGCACATCTAAAGACTGTATTGTTTGGATTCACCCGTCACACTAAACCTTAAGTTTGCTTCAATAGGGGTTTGTCGCGAGGCACGCAGACCAACTGCACACATGACACTAAAACCAAGTCAAATAAACCACACTGTGTTTTCACATGCTGGGTGAGATGCTGAGCAATGTTGATGAATAACTCCATATTTTATTGTGTGGAATCCTTGGTGCTCTC